TAGGATTTGCACCCGGTCGAAAGAAACCTTGCTATCGCAAGAGTAACTCCAGCTAGCTTCGCTAGCTTTCGTGATAATACATTTTACAAAATCTAAAACACAAATTTATATATTCCTCTATTTTCTCATTCATTCCATTTTAATATTCTATATGCAATCCCCAAAAATATGGTCCATATATATAAATTCAATTTTCCCATAAATATCCATCATAACATTAAATATTTATCATAAAAACCTTCTTTTATTTCAACAAAACAAATTCTATATAATACAACAAATTTTATTCATATAATATATATTCAATTTTTATATATTCTTGGATCCTATATAATATTATCAATCAAAGATAATCAAAGAATATTTTATTTTCATCTTAGAAAAAGCTTGCGGAGCTTGTCGGTGGCGGTTGTGAAGGTTGAGGCCTTGGAATGGAACATTGATGGATGGGTCCAAATTGATCCAAACATTGTCGATCGACAAATTGTTGCAATATATTCCAGGGTTCAGGTATATAAATGTCTTTATTCATGATCATATTATATCATGTTAAATTGATATTCCTTCCCGGTTCCAAGAAAAATTCTACGTTCCACGAATACGCGTTCGTGCACGCATAGAAGCTATGTTTTCCACGTTGGCTCACTGCGCTCTGGCTGCCTGGGGAGGGCTGGACGAACATGCTTGCAGTGGAAACCATTTTCCAGGGGCCGAATGTTCCATCTCCATGATTTTTTCAGGGTGTGTGTGAATCTAACGTGTTTGGAATATCGGTAAATATATTTAAAAAAGGTCTTGTAAATTTGATATGTCATAAGATTTGGAACAAGGTATGTATGCAATCGTCGAACTCGGGCAACTGAGGTAGTAACCGACTGGGACCAAAAGCCTTCTCGACCACAGGTCTAACCCTTAAGAATCCTCCAAGCAGCCCTGGGTGGCTCGAATGGCACTCTCTTCGTGGTCTGATTCTATGGCTTGACAACAGGCTGGCTCCCACAACAATACATCACCCAAACATACCCAAACACCCAATCTCACGACTCTCTCCCATGTTCCAAACACTGGCTATCACTGGGTACATCTGGAAGAGAAGTTGCCCGCCAGAAAACGGTCAAACTGTCTACCAAAGGAAGCACTCGTGCTTGATCCGGTTGCCCTCACTCTCACCCCCATTTCTGCCCTCACTGAGTCCATGGCCGGACCGGTCTCATTGGTGACGACTTCCTGAGATCTGCGTGAGTTCGGAAAGGATGTGTAGGAGGGGGAGGAGGCTATAGTTCGGAGTTCGGAACTGGTTGAAGACCTCTCCGATTGAATTTCAGCGAGCGCCTTTCCGGGCCTTGCCACGATCTCCAGTCGAGCAGCCGGACTGATCACCTGGGACCTGAACCACAAGCCTTCATGCCCTCCAGTCCCACTCCGCCGATTCACGTGCCCACACATGTTCAACACCCTTTTTCTCATGCAAAACACATGCACATGGGACTGGACTCTTTAGTCAACAGCCCAACAGTTGAATTGTGGCAGCCGATCGGCTCATAGCTGCTGCAGCCTGGCAGCTCTTCTGCCTGCTGGAAAATTCTGACAAGGCCGCATGGCCTAATCGATCGATGACAAGTACTTGTGAAGCACATTGAAGAAGCTGCCCTGCAGAATGTTGATCAAAATCCGAGTCCCCAAACCCCGAAAGAAGACGCCTCCGACGCCATCCTTCTCAATGATCTGCTGAGCAGCTCTCCAGTAACTGCAGTCCTCACTGCTGGTTTGCTTCTTCGTCTTGATGATGCACATGAAATTCGCCACTACATCACTGGCAGAGGTCCCAATTGCTCCAATCAAGGCACTTCGCCCCAGCACTTGGAGACGGCCACGGGGAACTGGGAGATGATGCTGGAGCAGGTTCATCGCCACAAAGCAGGGGTAGCTGCCCAGAAGGTTGGCCAAATAATTTCCTTCCCAGCCCTCCCACAATCCAAAAAGCCCACCTCTCATGAGCTTCTTCCTCAAGATCTGAGAGCCATCTGTCTGAAGAATGGTCTTACAGGTCTCAACTGGTGTGATGAGAATCCGCCAGGCAGCACCTGAAATCGAGCCTAAGAAGGTGGTCATACTCAAAGGGAGCACCCACACTCTGGCAACAGCCAAACTCAAATCATTGGCTGCCTCACTTGAACTATGAACCTGGAACAAAAAGTTTCATCTTTTGGGGTGGTTGCAAAACCGACTAAACAGTGTCAGGCAAATCAACATAAAATCAATGGCTCAAGGTGTTTGAACATATTATTTTTGATCCAATCCGTAGCTGCGACATCTCCAAAGCGCGAGAGTGGTACTTGCAAGATCGCCCAAAAAAGGCCCTGATACAAACGCAACAAGCCTCCTTCAGCCCAAAGCTTCTGCAAGACCTCCCTCAAGGATCCACCAAACTTGTATTGGTAGTTCATGGCGGTTCGCAACCACATGAAGACCAACACTTGTGACGTTCCAGCCAGAAAGCCCATTGAACCACTGCGCCATGCTTTCTGCAAGGCCTGCGCCATCACCGCCTTCATCTTGGTCTTCTGTACAGCCTGGGCATCAAACGCAGGCATCGCCTGAAGCTGTCTACAAGCCAAGACTGGCAGGCTTGCATCGGCCCGCTTTGAGCCAGAAAGCAAGCCAATTGCACCTCTTCACCGGCAAAAGTTCCAAGTGCGGCTCATTGGGTGCTCCAGGTCAAAACACATGGATCAGCCATGAACTGAACCAAGGATGCCCAATGGATCTGATGGGCATGGACCCAGGTGATGAGTGATGAGCATGTATTTATATTTATCAACATATGAATATATGGTGTATATGGTACCCCGAAGAAGTCTATGGTTTTGACTGATCACCGGGTGGACCGTCCCCACTTGGGCCCTGACTGGTCTGCGAGTTGCAAGGCCACAAAGATCAGGGATGCGCTGTCGTCGAGCTGAGCAGCATCGCGCAGCTTGAAAAAGAAAGAGCGGAAGAAAGCTGCAAGCTAAACGGGAAGCTGGTAACGATACAGCCTCTTCTCCGCCGCCTGCGCTAGCAACAAAAATCCCTTCTGCAAGGAACATGCGGAACCTGGTGCAGCAACTAGGGCAGCCTCTGGCCTTTGTAGGGAAGACATGGGTGCAGCAAACGTGGATACATGATACATCATGATACTGATACTGGTATGTTCACCTGAAGTCTATCCACTTGTGCTTTGTGATGCAGCATGGTACCATACCGCTTAACTCATGAGCGGGTTTCACACTGCAAGCGCGTGGGTCGACCACGGGATGTCGTAAGATGGAAGTTCCCTGTCTTTCGCAGTCAGAGTCTTAATCTCTGAGTTAAAGGAAAACGTGTCGTGAACACCATCTTCCAAAAAGCCCTTTGTCCTTTGTCCACCTCTCAGACTGTTTGAAGGAGGTACAGTTTTTGGATTTGAGAGCACTGTGCCCTGCCATGCTCTGCCATGCCCTGCCTGATTGCCCAACTCCAGATCCAATTCGAGCCTCTGCCCTCTGTACAGCTCTTTCACCTGGCAACGGTTTCAATCGAATGACACGGCGAACGTCTTTCAGAACCGCCGGTTTCGGCAAAAGTCACATGAGAAGAAGCGCCCGACAGAAAAATGCTGTCCTTCTTCAAGTGGCATCTACTTGGTTAATCTTGATTATGACCACGGAAAATTCATGCCAGCATCGTTTTTGCCTGTTCAACATCAGGTGGTGAAGGATAGATTGATTCATGACGGCTGAACTTGTTGATGCACCATGTGAGAACATCAAAAAACATCTGAAAAAACAAACAAAACATGTGTTACTTGGTGCTCTGATCCCTCTTTTTTGTATGTGTCTTTTTTGCCGCTTCCCGCCGCACATGATGCTTCAGGGGCAGCTCGGCACGGGCAATGAAGTCATGGTCCTCACGAGCCCAGCTACGAGGACCATCTGGTTTGGGTCCGTCCAATGGAACCCCCCAAGAAAATGTATCCAAACTGGTGACCCCTTCAAACATCCTTGAACGCCTCCCATCCTCTCCCATACGTGAATCAAACAAAGGATGCTGAACCATCCATGTTCCGAAGACCAAAGCAATGGTACGTACGTTTCATGTTGATGGGTGCATGGGCAACCGATCCAGTTTCGGATGATACCACCCCGCGGATCAACATGGAATCTGAAAACCACTGGGTTGAACCACCGGTCAATTCTCACGGTCCATGTTACCAGTAGTCTGTGGGGGAGTCACGAAGATTCCTCATTGCTTTCTGATCAAATGAAGAGCGTTGACGTGCTCCTCTGCACCACTGATGTCATAGTCCCACACAGAGAAAATGATCACCTGGAGGATCAGCGGTCCGTCCGAGGTCCCGTCCGAGGTCCGTCTGAGATCATGGAAGATCCACCACTCTCACACGCATTGGTTGGTCTGCCCGCCCTTCTTTCAGCGGGTTCTTCGCCAAGAGCCAGTCGCCTCGGTTCCTTGCACGAAGAAGCTGAACTGCTCGTCCCACACAGGATTGGCACTTGCGGCCTTAGAACGGCCCAGCCGAACGACCGGCAGTTCTAGGAGATTCTAGGTGTTACTTTTCACCTGGGATAACCCGGGATGTGGCTGAAAGGACCCGAACCTCACGTAGCTTGGACCCGGCCGTCTGATGTCTACAAATCAAGGATGTCCAACAGCTCCAGCACTGCATGCCATCACCAGGCATTGGGGATCCGCACGTAGGCTGTCTCTTGAACTTCTTGGCCGATCCGCACCTGGAATAAGGAAAGCCTTCCAGGCCCAGGTGTAATTACATAGAATGAATTAGATAAAACATGAGAAAACTATCCAAAAGGAGTTCCATCGGTTCTGAGCTGTTCTTCAATTTCCATCCGTTTTCGCTGTGAATGTAGACCTTTGATTACTTTTAAGATTAAAACATAACCACCTAATTGGAGTGTAACACTCCATCATATTGGGGCTTATATTCTGATTAGTATGTTCTATTCAAGAGTCCACACGTCTAGTTCTTCATGAGACTTCTCAGGTCTTACGGAACCCGCCTTCACGAAGGGGTCCACACTGAGGCTGAAAATGCTGGTGACCAGGTCGGTCGCTCGAAGCACCTGAAGCGACGTTTCGTCGCGGTCGACCCATGCAGACGCATGAGCTGAGCTCAGCTGAATCAGACTTCTGTCCATTTCGATCGTGGGAGGCTGGATGATGGTTCTGGATGTCATGCTATGCATCAACAAAGGCCTGCCTTTTGGAGGTCTGGTCTGTCTGGTCTAGATCGCAGCCTCTGGTGTTCACGGCTATTGATATACTTGAAAAAGAATCAACTCCCACAAGCTGGCACAAAAGTTCCGAAAGCACCTGCGGAATTCCGTTTCAACGGATCCACTCAGGCATACGGGGTCCCGGCACCACCCCCCACTCACCAGGACTGGATTTCATCTGAACCCTGGGACCCCTGGGACAGCAGAAACGACGCTCCTTGAAATCCTCATGGGCCAACGTGGATGGCATGGCACCTTGGACCATGAAATCCGAACACCAAGGTTTGGTGGTTTTCCACTCCATGCAACTATGATTGTTCCGGGTAGTGTAACCAACCTTCAAAGGTCCAAGGTCTTGGTTGCCCTCAGAACCACGCCTCAACGATAAGCTTCTTCTTCCCTTTCGGTGCATGCGCCTCCAGCTGCGAACTGCTCCAGTGTTTTGAAGGAACTGGTTTACATAGGGCATGGTTTCTCGTCTACACAGCACCTTTAAGCGTAGCAAAGGCCCTCAACTGGAGCAGTTACGAGCAGTGAGCAGTGCAAGTTGTGATTCTGGTTGAACTCCTGTTTCCACACATTTGCTGATGTATACAGCTGTATACATCTGCAATAAATCGGCAAAAAACCATGGAGCTAGAATTGAGGTTCACCACGTGAACCTTTCCTGCCTGCAAGGCTTGTGCACTTCGCACGGCTGCTCGCATGCCAACAGACCTAAATAACTGAAGAGAGCCCAGGTTGGTCCGGATTGCTGTAGTCTGAACAGGATCCAGGATCCAATGAATACCAATGAAATTCGCTCAAGAAACGTTCGCTTGTTGTTGCTCTTGTTGGTGCCTTTTCAATTCTTCCACTGTCCACACACACATAGCGTATAGCATATATATACTGGAAGTTTTTTGTAGCCAATGGATAATATGGATAATAGTATAACACTATATAACACTATAATCATGTCGAATCACAATACTACTTTAGCATGCAACCGGAAAACTCTGCCGGAACCCTTGACTGGGCAAGAAAACACAAACATGAAACCATCGGCTGGATGTGTGCAAACAAGCAAGGATTACATGGTAAAATCCGACAAACGAAGGGAATCTACTGTGGAACCAAAATAGCCCATTCACTCTGTACAATGATGGTGGTAGCGGTTGTAACGGCTAGTCAACAACAATTGGACAGTATTGAGAAAGGATCAGAAAGGACAGCCGGACCCTGATGATTGATTGATTACTGCTCCAAAATGCCCCAAAAGGCACCAGCTGGTTCTTTTGCCCTGCGGTTCAGTGCCCACACTGCGATGCTGTGGCAACTGACTGCTTGACATCTCCGTCCACTTCAGGCTTCGCCTCAAGAGGTTGGACCAACTTCAATCGACACGTCTACACATTACAGGCTTGGCGTGAAGCAAAGCAAACCCGCTCAAAAGCACTAACATTTGCATGTTTTTTCACCTTTCTCGTGGCGTCCTGGACGCCCCATCCGAACTCGTGGCGTCCTGGACGCACCGATCCCCCGTCCGGTGCCCTCGTGCCTCTGCCCAGTCGGATGGCTTCTGCCAGGGTGCGGGCTCCAGTTTCACATCTTGGCCTCAGCTTCATCAGCAAGGGGAGTCCGACAGAATCCGACAGGTCGATGCCTTGGAGAGGTAGGGGGGCCAAGCCTGGAACATCATCGCAAACATGGATGCTGAACTGGGATGCTGCATGTGCACATACAGTGAAGGAATCGGGGAACACACCACGACGATTCGTTCTTTCGAACGGTCAAACGTGGCGAAGGGTCGAAGCCTGATTGAATATGGCAAGATGGCTGGCAACTCAGCTTGTTGATGCTACTGTATATTAACTGAGGTGTTTTCCTATTTGATTCGATCCACTTCATCCTGGGGACTCATAGCCAACTGTACCTCCTGCCTCCTACAACGACCCAATGTAGCAGTTCAAAGGAAAAATACGCCTTCTCGGGCCAACCAATGAACCACATATATGGGCCAACCACACTCCGCGAGTCAGATCAAAGGACTTTCTTCACATCCCCAGTAATCCAAGTGCACAGAAGTGCACAGGGTGGAGAAACACTGCTGCCTCCCTACCTTTTGGCGGGTGGAGCAATGCCAGACTGGTACCGCATGGTACCGCTGTATAATACCTCTGACGCAGCATCACCGTCGAAGCCCCCATCGAACCCCCCAAACCAGGTCCGGGCGTGGCCAGGTCTCCGCTACACGTTCCAGCTGCCGTGCCAACTGCGTGGCACCCACCTGAGGGCGTCCCGCGCCCAACAAACAGTAACCCTGCATGGTCCCATGGTCTCAAGAGGTCCAAAGAATCCAACGAATCCCAAAGGGTCTCAAGAATCCGAAGGGTCTCAAGAATCCAAAGGGTCCAATGAGTCCAACGTCCTTCTTTTGGCAGTTGGCTGGTGGGGTGCGCTGGTGGCATGTGAAAAAATCCCATGTGTCTGACCCTGACCATCGGGTGGAGATGAACACCTCAGGTCCCGACCTCCCGTGCCAAGTCTGCAGGAGATCGCTGCAACTCATCCACCAGGAGCGGGCTAGCCTGCCGGGCCGGGCCCCAGGAACCATCCACAAAGACTTGGAGCTACATCTTGTGACTAATGTCACGAACGCTGACTATCGCCATCTAAAGGTGGATGTCTTGAACTAACTTTGAACTACCCGCGTTCTGTGACCGCTTGGGAATTAATTACCTAGGACAAAAGGAACAGACTTTTTGAGGAGGGGACTAGAAGCCTGCCAATATGTCGTCACGAAAAGACACCCGGGAGCTGCTTGCGACAGATCCTTGGCCCCCGCAAGCTTCTCCCAGAATCCCAGGTCAACGGTACCGATGAAACGTGCATCGTTTCTTTCTGCCTCAACTTCTTCCGAAAGAACATGAAAAACACACAAACACACACACACACACACACACACACACACGGGCCAACACATGAATTTGAGGTTCCCCATTTCTGAGAAAAATGCCGCACTCCAAACGCTGAAAGCAATTGGCAATCTGGACAAATGGATTGAGCACCCCTTTGGGGTAATCTTCCAAACTCGAGTCACCGCAGCCTGCGCCCGTAACAAGGCCATAGCAATGTCCTCAGCTGAAGAACCCTAAGATCTCAACCTCGATATAGGATCACCTATCACCTCTTGGCTTAAAACTCTTGAACAACCAACATCAACCAACCCACTCCGCTTTCGGCATGTCCTGAGACAAAACCAAACACCACACGGGGCCGAGCTCCAGGCTGCGTGCCCGGCCGATGCCGCATACATCAAGGCGGTGGCACGACGGCTCGGGGGTGGATCACGCCAGTCCACCTGGGCCACGGCAGGCGGTCAGACCTTCTGAGGGGCGGTCGGACCTTGGGGATCAACTTGAAAGAATCATCGACGCGGATGGTTACGTGGATGGCATCCCCTGGGATGGTCTTGGGATGGTATTGGGAACATGGCCGTCCTTGGGGCCATGCCATCCTCGTAACCATGATTGTTTCAGGGAGGTTGTCTCCCCTAAGGAGCAAGAGTCAAGAGTGAAGATTGAAAAAAGGTGCATTTACTAAAATATGGACCACTGATTCCCAAACCATGAACTTGGATTGAAGGCTTCCACCAAGTTCGGAGAAACACCGGGGCCATCCGGGCCTAGCATCTCTCACCGAAAAATGCGCACGCAACCCCAGGAACGGCGGCTGTTGGCCCAGCCTCGCCCTGTTCGATCCAATGCGCGACTCCTTCGATCCCGGCGACCGGGTGTCTGAAGAACGCGCGACCAAAACCAGGCAGAAACACTGAGGGGGCGGTGGCGGTGAAAAACGACCAACAACGATAGTTGAGTGATGTTGAGAGACAAGGCTTGTGCACTGGGCAACTCCGAAGAAAGATCGTTGAAAACAGTGGGATGTCACATGATGTCATATGGAGTTCCGCGGCAGCAAGGCCTTTCAGACTATGTCAGTTGTGATGCCGCCACCAACAACGACTGTTGCTACATGTTGCTCCTGCGCGCTGTGAGTCATCCTAATTAAAGGTGGCAAAAGTGAGCACTAAATCTCTCCTTGAACATCGCCTCTTGCTGCTGCCACGCACAGCCTTAGCTCAGTGGGAAAAGGAAAGCAACGCACCACCGTTCGATGGCTAGGGGGTTGAACTGTCAAGTTAGCAAACCCATGAGAAGGCAGTCGCTTAGCAAACAACAGTTCCCTGGTTACACCACTTTGCCCCAGGAAGGAAGCGATCATTTACAATCACACAAGATGCCTGTAAATGCCTATAACAACTATAGGACATATGCCCTTTGCCACGCACAAGCACCTCACCAAAAAAGAAAGAAACTTAGTCCAAAACCGGAAAATCGGTTGCACCGGTACCATTATACCTATAGTCCTTGTCACATGTCCGGAAACCTAGGCACCTTCAGTCCAGTACCGAGCGTCGCTCACGCTCACCGCACCGAAAGCGCGGGAGCCGCGCGAAGTCGCCAGGCGCCCCGAGCGCCCACTCTGCGAAGTGAGGATTCCGCCGGGACGACGCCCCGCGTCGCCTGAGGTGAGGCTGGCGTCGCCGTCGCCCGCGGATTCATCTGCACTCAGCTGGGTCAGGTGTGGACCAGTTTTTTCAACAAATACCACCGCCATCGGATGTGCATGAGATCCATGTCCGAACAAAATGCAAGAAAACAAACCGGCCGCTGGCCCGGCCGCTGGCCCGGCCAGGAATCGGAAGAGACGAAGAGGAGGTGCTTAGCACTATACATCACGAGCCGTGTGCAAAACCGATGTTTGAAGCCCTGGGGTCTTGTCCTGTGAGTTGGCGACCAGCCCATGGACGAATTACATTTCTGACGGGGCAAGATGTTGCGAATCTTGCACGGTGCGAAAACAATCCTGGTCTGAATGTATTTTTCCCATGTTGTATAAAGATCTATGGTGTTGTTGCACTCGTTCATGGGTCATGAGATTTGGGGAACTCAACCCGACTTAAAATATCTACAAACCCTTCATTCTCACTTCACTTGTCATTGACTCTTCGACGCCAGATTCGCCAGGGACCTGTGACGCACCTCGATCGATTCCGCCCCGTCGCCACCTCAAGACGTCTGTCACTGGATGATGGAGCAATGCCTGGCCAGCTTGGTATGGCGAGCTTGAGCTTGGTCACCGGTGGGAGAGGGGATGGAGGACAGGAAGGGTGAGAAACACTCCAAGTCACCGTTCAGATCGTGTTTTCTATTATTTGTGGGAGGAACAGTCGCTGGGTGGTGGATACGGGGAACACCCATCACAGGTACATCACTGCGCAGTCCAAGCGGATTGGGAACACATGCCAGGAGATTCCGTCGGCATTTAGGCGTGACAAACAGGGCCTACCCTGTGGATAAGGAGAGGAGCTAGCAGCGAAGTGGCCTATGGAAAACACTGCCTGATTCGCGCTAAGCGAGGTCTGTTCATAGTTTCTTCCCGACAAAGACTCTCAAATTTCCTCTGTTTGCAGGTGACAACAGCAGTTTCTCCGGCCAAACCAGAAGGAAGGAGAACACCCCAAACCGCTGGGCAAGCCGCTCCCTCTGGTGCTACCGGACCTGTGACAGTTCCATCGCAGTCCTGGAAAGAAAGACTGGGAATCTGAGATCCACGAACTGGGCAAAGAGGACCAATCCATGCAGTACGTAGACAACCTTTATACACTATATTTATATATATATTTATACACAAAACAATTAAACACTTCCAGGATCTGATAGGGCAAGCGATAATTTCCAGTCTTTTGTTTCTGGCACTGGCAGGACCCAGTCATGCGTCGGTTTTCCATGTGCGTTTGAACTCCAAGGCCACTCAAGGCTCAACCCAAAGGTCTTTCAGTCTCGGGAGGTATTCCAAACCGTTTGCAAGCTTAGGTGGCTCGGCTCCCAACATGGAGGGCGCCACACAAAAATACACCACCAACACAACAAACTCCACTTGTCGCTGACGGACTTTGCACTCGATTGGCAGGGTGCTGTTGAAACTTCAAGCCTGCAGTGGCAACTCTGCTGGAGAACAACTCACAAAACAACAAGGCGTAGGGGCCAGTGATTTTGAGAATTCAAACAGATCAACAATAATCAACCATATGATCATATTGAACCTAGCATCATTGGCAGCAAATCAATGACCTTCACAAAATCACATTCCATTTCAGCAGGTTGAAGTATGTGTGTATTATATAGTGAACTGCCAACACTTAGAATATGGACTAATTGATACTTTTGAAATGATATTTCATATTAACTTGTTTATGTATATATTTTCTGTACTTGAGGATATTCTAAGTGCAAGCCTTTGCAGTGCAGATAGAATATACAAATAGAAGATCACATGAAGACATGTTCAGATGGTTTGAAGGTGTCAAGATGAAACAAAGCAATGACATAATCATGTTTGCATGCAACTGTGCGGCAGTTTGAGTCATCAAGATGATGACAAAACAACAACACGCTATGGACGCACGTGTAGCCATGTCTTCAGAACTGACCAACCATATATGTATGCACACACACATGCGCCGGAGCATGTGTGGCAGCAATGTACTGGCATACAACCAGAGATGCATCTATGCAGCACACACACACATGCATAGTATATATATACTATACTATACATTGCATGTTTGGTATAAACTCTGTTTCTTCTTGACCTGCACCCTGCTGCCATGTCGGGGTGGTACCTATGCACTAACATTTCAAGTGCAGTGGATGCTTATGATGCGATGGGTGTGGTGCCGGGGCCTGGTGATGCAGGATGCACTGCAGCTCAGAGGATCATGAAGCTTTCCGCTGTACCAGGGTCGATCATCCAAGAGTGCTACGATCGTACTCTGGCATCTATCGATACCAATTCCGCTGACGCTGACAGAGTTGAGGCGGCATACTCTTCCTTGATGGGGGACTCAAGGAAGTCATATGATGCAAAGCTTTTGACGGACATGTTTGTGCCTGGTATGAATTTATATTCTATCTGCACGTTTTTGAATAGGTTTTCCTTTTGGGCGTGTCTAGATATATATATATATATAGAGAGAGTTTCATTCTATAGAGACTGCAAATTCGATGACTCTGCTATAGGCTAAATCAGCGCTTGGTCCGCAAGAACTTGCCCGTCAGAGAAAACGGCAGATGCCAGATGAGAGCACACAGCCGCCGTTACCAGCACCTATGGATCCGCCGCCATCACCAAAGAATGATGATGATGACGACGACAAGGCTTGATGCCAAACCTAATTTTGCCGGTGCATAATTTCTATATATATATAGATTATATATAAATGCATATAACAAAGAGTTGAGTAGATATAATATAGAAACACTAGAATAAATTTGCAACAAATCATGCCGGCAGGAGCCACTTCCAAAGGGCATGACCAGCTTCAAGAAGCACATCCGTGTGAATTGTAGCTTCACTGGTTGCTCAAGAAATTTTCAGTTCAATGTCTACGGGGACTACCATCTAGCTTTGAAGGCAGCATTGTCCTATGATAAACGAGCGACAGCTATTTTGGTGGACTTTGATTCCTACAAACGCAAGCCAGCAGAACGGCAAGGCCTCTTGGACCAGCACGGGGCCAAGGGATTTACTAAGAAGAGCATTGGTATTCAACGTGTTGCACTTCAGCGTTCACTGGACAATGGTGATTCTTCTTCCGTGGAAGCTGGTATCATCACCGACATGTGCAAGGACACCCTTGACCAAAGCTTGCTGGACAAATCATCGATCCAATATTCGGACTCTAGCTTCAAGGCAATCTTCCAGGGCCAACAGCAGAAGCTGGAGCAATGCTTCAAATCTTTTAAAGATGCATCATCTTGGATTCAGCAAATGGACAAGGCCGATAAGGACCCGCTTGGTTGCAACTGTTTGTTCACACGTGTGGATGATTTAACAATTACGGATAAGCATTGTGTATATTCACATTATTTCTGGATGTGCCAGCTCAGTTGGCAGCCAGGATATGCAGATAGAATATGATGCTTGCTATTGGCCCAACTCATAAGATAAATCTTCAATCAAACAAGCCATGATAAGCAGCACGCATACATACAAACGTACATACGATCCACTATGTATGGTGAACTTTGCTCATCAATTTTATCAATGACAGGAACTAGTCCAATGAAGCATTTTAGTTTGCTGCTCATTCATAGTCACAGCAATATATAATATATACACGGGGAATGTGCACATAGAATGTGCTTCCATGGGTTGGTTGGTCGGCCACACATTGCACATGAAAACTTTAAATAACTAACAAATAAAGACGCTGCAATTTATACCATTTACATGGCAAACGCTGTGCCGCCATGGAGAAGAGAACCACAAGAGCGATTGTCCGACATCCAACTGGAATGCCTCAACCGGCTATTGCGTGAGTCTTTGGGTCAGCCAGCGCAGCACCAACAGGCAACCTCAGCTACATCAACGGGACCTTCTGTGCAGTCAGGAGCAGCAGATGCAGGACTGGATCAGTCTGCGCATCCCCTACCGGCAACACTGTATTCATCAATCCAGCCATGTGGACCTTCACCTGCACCATCAACGGCATCCTTTGCTGGACAACATGAAACCGCTGCAAAAAAGGATCAAGCAGCTGATGAAGCAAAGCATGAAGGCACAGCGGGGGGCTTGGATCCTGAGAACCCTCAACCCGAAGCAGCAAGCATGGAAGTAGAAGCCCCAACAGAGGGAGCAGCTCGCGAAGCAGCTGATGAAGCAAAGCCTGAAACAACTATTACAAGCCAGCCTGAACCAAACGCAGCTGTTGACCAGAACCGCAAGCGGTATGGACGGTGGAGCCCAGACATTACAAACCCAAAAGAGGTTGAATTGCGCCGCATAAAGGATCTAAAAAACCAAAGAGAAATCAAAAGAAAAACACTAAAGGGACTGTATAGCAAATCAAAGAAAAACCAACCAGACGCATGAATCTTGCATTGAAAAAGGTGCTAGTATTGCTGGCTGTGCGGGTAGATAGCCAGCATTGCTGGCTGCATGTGTACTTGAACAAACCTGTAAATGCACATACATATATATATATATATTCAAATACAAATCTGAGAAGGACCCGCTTGGTTTCTCTTGGGGTCTGTACTATCTATATACCATTAATCCACTATAATGCTTTGCACACTGCTGCACAATAGGGTTCAGGTTTCAAAGCCGCGGTTAACAGCACATGTGCCCAAAATGACCATTAGATAGGTACAAGTAGATATATATATATATATATACATACGCACAAGTGCCAAATGCAAACAAAAACTCCAAAAAGCAACCAAATCTAATCACCTATTGTAGAAGTTTTTGTGGCTGGATTGCTTCCAATCATAGGTAGTGCGCGAAGCTGCCAAAGTGAACTGGCTTTGATTTGTAGTTTGGCCATCCCGCCATGGACAGCCCAGCCGCTCCAGACACCTACATCATTACCTCAGATGAGGAGACGGGGAATTGGGTGGCCACACCAATTCCAAACAGTGCTGGGGGCCGGGAGCGCTATGCTTTTGTCATCAAGAAGGAGAAAAAACTTGGCCGCAACATCATTGATAGGCCAATCTCATCTTGGAAGGCCAGCGCGGAGTGGAAGACAGACTTTGACGCTGAAGTGAGCAACCACTGTATGCTCTGGCTGGAGTATGTTGAGACTTCTCGTTCCAGGTCCATCAAACCACTGAGCAGGAACCACTTTGTGTATGACAAGATGATGCAGTCCGGCTGGAAGATCAAGCATGGGAAATTCTGTATTCCCTAGGTAGCTTGAGATTAAGGTACAGTAGAAGAATTAGAATAGTGATATTGTACAGCAAGGCATGTCACAATTCAAGACATTTGCGTGAAGATGGGAAAATGGAGTGTGGGCCAGCTCTATTAGTAGCGCCACGCACCCTGGGATGAGTGTAATTGTTTTTGGACGAGGCCATTCAAAAAGCAATCCCATGAATGCAGATAGAATACAGTTTAACATTCTCATGTTCTAGGTACATATATATATATATATTTATATATATATATGTAATTATTGATATTGGGCCTGGAGGTAGGTTTCATATTCTCATATGTTCATTTGGCACTCTCCATCAGCTTGGAAAGCTTCAGTCTACAATACTACGGATCTTCAGCAGGGGGTAGGCCGCTAGCAAGTAGCTTCCTAGTAGCTTGCTTCAGTAGTTCCTAGCATATATTTTTGTTTGTACATATGTATGTATGTTTTTGTACGGGGCCATTCAAAAAGCAATCTCATGAATGCAGATAGAATATGGTTTCATGATTCATATTATCATGTTCTAGGTATATATATATAGGCATATGTAAGTATTGATATAGGACCTCTTTGGGGTAGAAAGCCCGCGACAGATTCTTTTGACACCGCAGGACGGTTCTCTTGGGAAATCATTGAAGTCTGTGGCAGCAAAATGCAAGGACGCATGCGCAGCAAAGGCAATGATCTCATCACTTTCCAAGATCTCCACCCAGGATGACCTACAGAACATTGCCAATGAGATGGCCAAAGAGAGCAAGGCCAACAAGGTTGTGGAAGCCGAAGATGTGACTGCGGCCTTTCTTGAACCTGAAGC